AGAAGACCTGGTTCACCACCCCCTAAAAAGGCTAAGTCGATTTTGTCGGCAAATAAGGTGATGGCTTCAGTATTCTGGGACTCGAAAGGTGTGATTATGATTGATTATCTTGAAAGGGGTCAGAATATAAACTCTGATTACTACTGCACCTTACTACGTCGTTTACGAGAGGAAATAAAAGAAAAACGTCGAGGAATGCTCAGAAGAAAAGTCCTGTTTCATCAAGATAACGCCCGTGTTCACACGTCAGTACAGACAATGGCTGAAATTCACAACTGTGGCTTTGAACTGTTACCGCATCCGCCGTATTCACCTGATCTGGCACCATCAGACTTCTTTCTGTTCCCTAACCTAAAAAAGCACTTGGGAGGTCAAAGATTTTCGACTAACGACGAGGTCAAAGCAGCTGTAGACGCATATTTTGACTCTAAGGAAGAATCATTTTTTTTCAACGGTCTAAATGCTTGGAAGGGGAGGTGGCAAAAGTGTATTGAACTTGATGGTGATTATGTAGAAAAATAAAAATATAACTGATTTAGTATTTGTTTATTTTCTTGGTTAGGCCGAGTACTTTCAATCCACCCTCGTATAATTCTTCTGTTCGTGTGTATGTAACTGAACTCCACCTAAACAGCTGGACCGATTTTAGATTGATTAGGGTTGCTTCAACGGTTTAGATTCACAATAGACACGGTAGGTGGCGCTGTTGACGAGATCCAGAAATCACCCGTGCGAAGCCCGCTCGGACCTCTAGTATGATATAAAACAAAATGATATAACTGGAACCTACCTTCTATGTCATCTGCGGAGCAGTCACCAGCTATGCCATCATCGTGATGTCCGTCGTCAATTGAATTGTGATCGCTGACGTCGTCTTTGGGTTCTGCTTTCAATTCTATTCCATCGAGTCCCATATCCTCTTTCTTTTCTTCTGCAAGGATTTATTAAAAAAATATTAACATCTCTTTTCAAGAAACACTGATTTTCTTCTTTATCTCTAGGATGTCACTTGTAGGAGAAAATTCTAGTGTGGTGGTAACATTTAACAAAAAAATACAGTACATATGTAATTTTTTTAAATTGTAATAAGTATTGTCAACATATTTATGAAATTAACATTTGTTACATTCTCTGAAATTTGGTTGGTTTTCAGATTGTATCAATTATTGAATTTTTAAGAATGTGACTTTTTTTTATAATATGGGGCAGAGGTGGCCAACCGGCCAATCGCGATCAACCGGTGGATCGCGGCTATTAGTCCAGTCGATCGTAGCAAGGCAAAAAATCATATAAGTTTAAAAAAAAAGAATATCCAAATTTGAAGAAATGCGTTGAACAACTGCATTCGTGTTTTGGTTGAACATATTTATGTGTATCACCATTTTCCTACTTAAAACAAACAAACAGTAAACATCGTTCTCGTTTGACAGGTGCTCGTACTTTTGATTCTTTATCAGGGTTGGCAATTTCCAACTAGAAACCTGACGTAGTTAATCTAACGTGAGATGCTCAGACACAATGCTCCCAATAATTTAAATAAGTAGTTGGCTGGTAAAGTGGTGGCTCAGGACCATGCTTTGTGGCATTCCTTGAGGGAAACCTATATTCGGCAGTGGACATGTCATGTCAAGGTCATAATAATGATGGTGATGATGCATACACACAGGTGAAACTAATGCATGTTACAATCTGTGACACGTCTAAACAAACGAAATAAACCTTACCTTCTTTATCTTCAAGCTTTGAATGTAGGAAGAGTTCCTCACACTGCAGTACTTGCTGTCTAAAGGCACAAGCATCTCTTAATCTCACCACACAAGTTGCACAAACTCCCGAGTCTTTCATATCTTCATCCACATGTGACAGCTGAAAGTGGAAATATCAAAGTTTAACAAACCCCCCCCCCCCCTAATATTTGGTCTGTTTTTCTACCGACTTCAAACAGGAGGAGGTACTCAATTTGAGTGTATGTTTTTTTTATGTGTGTTACCTCATAACTTTTTTTGGGTGAACCAATTTCGATGATTCTTTTTTTATTTGAAAGCTGGTGCTTCACATGTGTTCCCATATAAATTTGATCAAGGTCTGACCAATAGTATTTGAGTTATTACTAATAATTTATATTGAAGCCGGCTGTACAAAATTTTTAATTTTAAATTATATTTTCTACAATGGGATAATCAGAAAATTATTTATAATAATTATGAAAATTCAAGAAAAACAGTAATAAACATGTGCACACAGTCTACCTGATGATACGTGGATGCTGTGGCCTATCAACATCTTTACTTTAATTGAGGATCAAATGCAGATGTGTTTATTTAAACATTAGCCCAGATAATACTACTGTTATCGTCACCGATACAGCCTATTAAAATTCACTGCTGAACATAGGCCTCCCCCATAGATTGCTCCATAAAGGGGATAGTTGCCACACTTGGCAAACAGGTTGGCAACTGCAGTCTTTATTTTTACTTGTTATTAGGCAGACAATGCTGCCCACAGGTTGATATGGAGTAGTGGATATTTTTACCCCACCACTACTCGGTAAAGACAATACCAATTGGATAATAATAGTATTATTAAGTGCATCCTACATAAAGCAAAAGGATAAATAATAGTTTGATTTTTGAGATTGAACCTGGACAATGGAAAAATAAATTATTTTAAAAATTGTTAATAAAGTTACACAGGTCTCCTCTCGGTTCTGTTAGTTTTTTAGGTTAAGGAAATTTCCGCAGCGCTTCCCCAATGTGTGTTGGTGAATTATGAAATATTAATTAATAATTACTGTAGTAAAAGCAGTTATTTTGACATTACAAACACACGTCAATTTTATTTATTTGTTTAGATATGCTTCGTATTTTTGATAAACACATTATAATAATAATAATATAGCCTTTATATCCCGAAACAAATAATCCTATCTTATTCAGTTTTGTTATAATATGCCAATCTTCTCCAGTTATACCCACTGTTAATTTTAAATCGTCCTCCCATCTTTTGTGTTGTTGATTTCTATTTCGTTTCCCATTTCTGGGAACATTTCTCTGTTACTATTTTGCACTCCGTAGGCTCTTAGGGCTCCGTAGAATATGACCTGTCCATTTCCACTTCATTTGGTCTATCTTGGTGAGAATATCTGTCACACCTGTTCTTGCTCTTATGTATGTTTTATCTATTTTTCTGATTCTCAGCATGCTCCTTTCCATGGCTCTTTGACAGTGTTCGAGCATATCTCTGTGCTGCTTAGAAAGTGCCCAAGTTTTGCAGCCATAAGTAAGGCATGGGAGAATACAGGTGTTAAAGACCCAGATCTGATTTTAAAAAAACATTATACTTTTCAGTTAATAATCATCCGATTATCGGATGAATAGACCTTTCCATGAAAAATATAATAATATATACAAGGTATACTGTTAAACAAATTATATCTAAAAAGAAATATAACAAGCTCTAAAATTAAAAATATTGTACATCCACTTCAATATAAATAAAATGAAAACATCATCAATGTAGTCGAGGTCAATTAAATACGCATTATTAAGGATAACTCAAAAACTACCAGTCAGATCTTAATCAAATTGATATGGGACCACATAAGAAGCACCAGCTTTGAAATAAAAAAAGAATTACCAAAATCGGTTCGAAGACGGTTCAAATTGTAATTAATTTGTAAGAAGAGAATCAATTGAGGTAAATTTGGTGTAATATTTATGCAGGAAGTAAACTGTAAGATTAAATAACAGAAAACACTATAACTCACTAAAATCCCGAAGCAGTCCATCACCATCTCTGCGTAAACTTCTTTATTGTCCATCCAAGTGTATTCAGCAGTAAGTATCCTGCATTTTTTTATAGATCGACAACATCGACAAAGCGCTGGATCTACGATCGGTCCATTATTTTTCACTGTTGTCATTTTGATATAAATAAATTACACAACTTTTCATTCACAAATTGTGTCTGTAATTGTATTTTTACTCAGAAAACTCATAAAAATCATTGGTTTGGTCAAAACAATTAATGTTGGATGACAAGAGAAAACTATTATGAAGAACACAGATGAAGAATGAAGAAGAAGACGGCAATAGGGATATTCGATATACATCGATGCTACGAATTCACTCGATCAGAGAGGAGTATGTTCCTTGCACTCGATATTTACAATATGATGCATCGAATCGATCCGATGTTTTGGAAAGTTATTGATATACTCAATGTATCGATATATTTTCATAAAACATCGAACCAATGATAACCAGCCAATGGTAAAAAGGGTATACTTATCTATCACTATTAATAATATAACTTCTAAATCAGAAAAACTAAAACATGCTCTGATTTAGAAGTTATTATATTAAACCTGTTGGTGGCGCTAGTTGGCAGCTGTACTAAAGAGAATTTTAAAAAATCGTCTGGTCTGTCTCGATCTTAAGGCGGCTACTCACTTGCGTGCCGCAGGGACAATCTAGGATTAACAGCGATCGGGGCAATATCAGAACCACGAAACAAATACAAAGAAGAGATGGCGTAAGCAACTGTGCACTGTGATTCTAACTAGGTCCTGACGTCATCACAGTGAGCGTGGCTTTACTTAGTATAGTGCCAGCATTTATCATGTGCGCTTATGTTTCGAAAATCGCAAATCGGTGAGTTTTCGTAGTATTAAGAAGAAAATGGTGAAATGTTGTGTTTCATACATGCCTAATACATAAACACTCACGCAAATTGTCACGCGTTGTTACATAGTGAATCTAATTATAACACCTCCTCTTTGTATTTGCTCTGTGATTAGAACTCTCTTTACACACATGCCTGCCGTTCAGTATTAGAGTGCACGTTTTGCTGGACACATGCGTTAAGAATGGCGCCAGTTTTATCGAAATACCAATGAATCAATAAATATAGCTTTGACTCTTTTTTTAATATAGAATAAGGGTGACAAATGAGCACAGTCCACCTGATGTTAAGTGGATACTGTAGCTCATAGACACCCATATTTATTGATAAAACAACTAATTAATAATTACAATCATAACACAGTCCTTTAAAGCTAGAGCATTGCTCTACCACGTTTGCAAACGTTACAATTTTCGAATAACGTTCTTTTTGCGGTGCTACCGTAAAAAAAAGACAAAAGGGAGATACTGGTTGAAGAAGTCGCTGTTTATACACTTCTACAAACGTGGCAGCGGTAGCTATGGTCTAGGGAGCAAGGTAGGTCTTGTGCCCCTGCCGCCCTGCCGCAGGGCCGACTTAGAAAATTGCCCGTGATTTCATACACACATCATAATTAAGGAGGCAATTAAGGTTCCTCCCCACTCTTACACCCTATATTGCCCCTGCGGCAGCCAAGTGAGTAGACGCCTTTAGACCTAAATGGTGACCCAGTGGACTCGCCTCGCATGATTATTCCCCTCTGCCAAGGTATTGGATTTAAAATATTGTAGGTTTATAAAAACTGTTTATGGAATCGTTTTTATAAACGCACATGATTTTCATTATTATAAAAATCGTATCCGCCGACGTAGGTGCTCTTTAAAAACTGCCGATCGGTGCGGTTAACGTGTGTATAAAGCAGTCAAATACTTAAAATTTACAAAAAGATGAATTTATATTCGATATATAAGTATTTTTACTGTGATAAATTTTTTTTCTATTAAAATCATTTAAAATAATATCATAAACATTGACCTACTACTAAATGGACCTTGGTTCTGCGCTTAAAAGTGTCCGAGCCAAAAGTGTTCCAAAATGTAAAAAGAGCTCCAATTGAACGCCAGTCTTCGTTTTGTCGACCGATAATAATCTTCAAAATGCCGTACAGTATCACAAAATGCACAAAACTATTTATATTTATATATTTTTTCGATAAGGACTACTAATATTTAATCATTTAAAATAATATTTTGTTTAGATACAAGATACGTAGTATTTAATTTAAATTCACATTAATTGTGAAAACAAGAAAACATACCGATAATTTTCGCTGATGAAAACAGTGTAACCTCTGGTTGAATTTAAAAGGCAGTTAAATTATCGCAAGCAGAATTACATATTATATAATACGCTTGTATAGGTTGACTCGGGACATTTATCATGAATTTTATTCTAGACCCACCATCCATTTAGTAGTTGGTGAATGATCATAAATAATATTTTATTTATTCTTTATTGCATTCCTTAATATAAAAGAACACAAAGGGCGGACTTAATATTTTAAGGCAATCTCTACCAGTTAATCCATTGAGTGGTGAGAATTTGACGTAGATATAGCAGTATAGAATAAAAACGATAATTAACTAATTTATATATAAATTTTACTAATATATAAAATTAATAAACTATAGAAATATCTCCGGTTTATGCATATACACAAATATTTGTATACATATGTATGCATACATATATACACATCAACATACAATTATAAATAGTGTAAATAAATAACTATGAATATATACGTCTGTTAACAATATATTAGTTCTTAAGAATAATCTAACTGTCTAACATCCTTGAACACACACACACACACACACACACACACACACACACACACACACACACACACACACACACACACACATACACACACTCACAAAAAGCTTGCGGACAAAGACAGTGCTGATGTAAAAGTAGTAGACCATTTTGAATGGGGTATCAAGAAGTTGACTCCAGATTTATAATGTAGTCAGAAAAAGTACTCGATGTTGAAAAAACATTGATGATTCTAACCGATGCATCAGAATACATCGATGCACAGCCATGATGTATTTTCAAAGTGGACACCCATAGACGACAATGATCATTCCTAAAGTACTCTGTGACAACCATAGATAACACGGAATTATGGAGTGTAGAGAGAGTGTACTCTACACTCCATAGGAATTAGCGTAGATAGAGGCTATGTCTATGGGAATTAGTAACGTTTGTGATTACTATAGTGCCACCAACTTATCTGTTCAGGTGGACAAAATTGGAACTAAAGCCGCCATTTTGTAAATGACATTTCGCTGTCAGCTATTATTTATTCTAAGCTATCAGGTGAGCGTTTTTAAAAAGTGTCAATAAAATGCCTAAAGGTCTTAAAAGTGATGCGCGATAGATTATGCTAAAATTTTTATCATTTATGAAGAAGAGAAACGTGTACGAATCCCAACTATACCATTTGAAAAGCTGTAAGAACGCGTAGCTGCCGCGACAGGTTAGTATTGCCAGATATGGAAAGTTAAAATCACCAAATAATGTACTTATGAAACATAGTTAAAAAATTATCTCAATTTACTGCAATTCATCTAAAGTACCTAGCTTTGTAGTTTGTGTTGCTAATGTTCTAATGCCCCAATTAATTGAAGATTTATTTCATAAATTTACAAATAACATTTGTAATCATGTAAAAAAATTGAAAATTAATACAGACTAAAAGACGCGTATTTAAATGAACCCTTTATTACAGTGTCAGAGCGATAGTGAAAGCGATTCCAGAAGATGAATTTTTGGAACCAGTAGCTACGCGGGTACATTTTTCAAAACAGAAATTCCTGGTATTCGGCCGCTTGAACTCCGAGATCACAACCACAATTATTTTTATAAAATAAAAATAATATATATATAATAACACTAATTCTCAATTTTAATATATTAACACGAAATTTGTTTTATTTTATATTATGTGTAATGAATATGTTGTTACCTATTTCCTCGGTGAATTTCTTAAATGGCAATAGTAACCACTCCACTAGCGACGCTGTCAACTGAACAGATAAGTTGGTGGCACTATAAGTTAATACTTCCTTAGCAATCCTATGCCTATGGTGAGAGGCTTTTTGACACTAAGCAGGCTATTACGAATTTTTTCCATATCTCAATGTCACTACCGTATTACACCAGTGGTTAGAAAAGACTGCTAAAGTTGTTGGCAACGCTTAAGATTTTGCGTTCCACGCGTTTGGCGTGTGTGTGCCAATGTGCCAGGTCATCAATAAATAAGCGTACGGCGCATTTACTGATGGCCTTTTTTTAACTTAAAATTATAATTGCAACATCTAACGTTAAGAAGCTAAATTTCCTCATTAATTCTAGAAACTTCGTTGATGAAAAGAAATATGATCTCTATTCTTAAGGACTTATTGTTCGTACTCAAATGAATGGTGAGTAACATAATGCTTTTCTCTTTTATTTTTAAATAATTAATCACGTGAAAATTATTGAAATGGTACACAATTGTTGGTATACATTTCTTTCTCGTGTTTGTGTGAGTATGGCGACAGTGGTTTGTGGTTTCGTTACAAATTATGGGTTTTGCTATTTCCTCTTGTTTTTTTATATTCCGTGTACCAAAGTAAGGCAGGACCACAGAGTACTTTTTATATAGGAAAGGACAGGACTAGAAATGAAGCGTATATACTAGAAGAGATCTATGCACTAGGTATTAAACGAGACTAGGTTGCACCTGTTCCAGCTTTTAAAATACTTGATCCACCTAGTCTCACTGTGCCTATGCCTACGCGTCGTACGGTTCAACGCGGCGGCTCGCTCGAATCGAAGAAGTAGTAAGTACCGGCGCGGCAAAGCGAGATAGCATTTTGTTGCCATAGTTACTAGTCTGCTTTGCCCGTCACTCGTGTTTGCCTAAATCATTCGTGTGTCAGTTGTTTGAATTTGATCTATATTTCAATGTCCATAAAAGTAACACGACGCGCACTCGTGTTGTGCAAGAATATATTCAGTCCTTTTTTAACTACACTATTCCGCAGTCTTTCTATCTTTGTCAATACTCGAGACTAGTCGGGACTATTCCCGGGGACTTCAACCAAATACTAGGCAGATTTTATAGACTAGGTACTAGTAAATACTCGATGCGAATTGAAACTATATGATGCAGTCGAGTGTCTAGTACGGACTCATGCGAATGTGAAC